GGACTGTTGATGTAAGTGACTTTTTGCAGATAATTGAAATGTTTTAAAGAATTTCTGCAAACATTCATGACATTCACGAAAATTTCACATAAAACTCAGAAACTTTCATATATATTTTTCCCGTTTTGACTGTTTCATATTTACACATACTACTACTTTGTCTGGCCTACTAAACATTGGCGGTAGCCCAATTACCTTCGTCAATCTGCATGGAAGTCTAGAGCGTGGCGCATCTCAAAAAGGATCGATTTCTGATACGATGTGCGACAATGGATAACTTGAAGATATTGATTTTCATTGTTCTCCAAATTGAAAAATATCAGGAACTTGTGCACTTCCCAAGTCTTTTCTCGAAAATTACGATATACAGGGGGGCCAATAAAAAAAGACATTTTGTCTCCACTTCCAGATGGATTTAAGCACACTTTGCTCAATTCAGACCGAATGGTCCCAACTTATTATTGAAGAGCGCATTCCATTCTATAAGAAAATCTTCATAGTGGCCACCTACGTGGACGGCATCAGAAGAATTTGCCCTGGAAACATGGTGCACTGGTCGAGCTCAATGGGGTCTTCGAAGGATCGTGTACCATAACGACCTTTACTGGAAAGCTAGTTTCGAGGGGATTTGCATAGTGGGAGCTAATGCCTCTAGAAAACTATCCAACATTAAATCGATTCACGAAATTGCGTAAGAGCTTCAGGCTGAAGCAGTTACGGTAGACCTCCTTGAGACGACGGTGACAGATGACGTCATATTCTGAAGACGGTGAGGGCAGTGAAGGAGGGCCTGCGTTCACTTATAGAGGGACACTTAGGGAATATGAGGAACTCCCGTCAACGACGGCAATCTCTGCGAAGAAAAAAAGGGCCGAAGTCCGACATAGGCAAAATGTCTTTTTATGGCCCCCCTGTATATCGTCCTCTCGAGCAGTATGGGTGAGTATTGCAGAAGTGTTATGAGTGGAATGATGTTTGCTCTTCTAATAATGATGTGTTTGTAATTGATTATGCGAATAATGGCAATCATTAGTCAAGCATCAGAATAACGATTTGCCATTTAAATGCAAACCAGGGCAAACGGTGACTTGCAAAAATTCACGTAAATTCGAGAGATCTCCGAAGGGAAACTTGAAAAGAGAGAAGCAGGGAAAATAATAGTTAGAGCTAAAATTTTAGGAGCGCAATGAATCGCAATGGCATAATAAATATGGATTTTAACAAAAAGCGAAAGGATTTGAAGTGTGGGACTGGAAATGGTGAGGTTGAAGATGGCAGCTCCGCTAATAACGGTTGATTGCATTGTAACGGCTCACGAGAAATACTTGTTCAAAATGTTTTCACCCTTAGCATGTGAAAAACCAAATATTGTAAACGACTTTTGGAAGGTGGTTAGAGCCGATCTTTGAGAAGTAGACAGACAAAACCAAGATTATAACAAATAAATTAGATTACAATGTCAAAAAAATTCCCCAAACTTTTCAACTACAGTATTTCCCGAATGAAAGTCCTTAATGTGAAACGATTGCCTAGTTTCAATTAAAGCAAAGAACATTAAATCTAATACCGTTTGCCAAAGGCCCTGCAAGCCTAGTCCGTTTTCATAGAACATCGCGAATGTGAGTTTTTTTTTTTGATCCCAACACATCTGAGTGGATAACGACCCCGTGGCGATCTGCAGGATATGATGGTGGCATTTTGGGGCGCTTAATAAATATTAAACTATACTATGAAGAGAGGGATCCTACAATACTTGCAAGCCTCATCTCGTACTCCACGGCCTAGGCTCTAGCTAGTAATTTGCTGCAGATCTATTTGGACCAAGGCGGAACTGGTGTAGTTGCCAGTGGCGCTGCATAAAAGGCGCACAGTCAAGAGTTCAAGCTTCCTCTGGAACCGCGCCCCGGCAACAAATATCATCGGCTGGAACAATATTAATCAAGTCAATGGACTCGAATCGTTGATAGCACCAATTTGAATGAATTCAAGTACGCGGTCCAGATCGTGTCGATCCAATCATGTCGACAGTTTCAATGTATAAGCCTTTTGTAACTATGTCTAGTTTTCAACAGCGCCATATGTGTAGTAGTAAAAAAGACAATAGATAATAACAATACTCGAAGCCAGGAAGAATCACCTCCTGCGGTCGATACATAGGAGTTTGAAAGCAGGAACACATCATAAAAACTGACCTTCGATACGGGCTCCGGTTGTGCCGGCGAGGCACCACACCTTCGTCAGGTAGAAACACTTGCACCGACCCCTCCTTCAGATCCGGTAAACCACAAATCGCATGCGTCGTATCACAGTAGTAATCGCATCTTGACACGAAACAATGATTTTTCGCTGAAATCGATCGAAAGTAGATCAATTAGAAAAAGCGTTCCTATGAAAATGTGATGAAAAACTAATAGTAACTCCAAAAAAAATTTTTGAAGATGATCATAAACAGTTATTAAAGGAGTGGTAGCTGTGGGTATAAGCAGTATTGTTTTCACAATTTTAATTAAATTTACTAGAACTGGACAGGTCTTGAAGAGCCGAAACAACAAGCATTAGAACTACACGCTTATCGGTATAATCGGCTTTCATTCACTCTCATCAGGTATTATCATTTACTCATTGTCAATCGACCAATGCTTGATACACTTGCTCTTTATTTGTCTTCGTGAACTTGTTGTATTCACACTTGTGCTCATTTAACGCTTTTTCCTCCCTTCCTTACTGAAGAGCACGGAGGGGGGGGGGGGGGTATTTTTCCAGTTTGGCTTCCGTCTAAGGGCACGTGCGAAACGGAAGTCGAACTAATTCTTTGATTATTCCCCCTAAAAATTTCTAATTTCTATGTTTTTACTCAAATCTAACTATTTTATTTATTGTACAACTTCTTTAATTTTCTATGCATCTCTCTTCGAATCACTTCTATCAGTCTCACAATCACATTTCATCAATAACTGACTCACTGATAGAAAAAAATATTAGAAAAAAATAGTGTTAAAAATAATGCGATGTGGAGGTTGGTACCGGGCGAGACGAAAAACGTTTTCTTCAGCTTTTTCTCAGCCTTGTCGAAAAGTTCAGATGTCATGTTCACGATTCTCCCCACCGTCGGAACAGCACGTCGGAATCCAAGCACTCTGAATCATTCAAGCTTTCCATCCGCTAACTTTAATTAGCCGCACGTTTAATGGGATTTCGTACAATTCACATAGGTTCCCGTTTCTATGCAATACCACACATTTCACGATATATGTATGCTGTATCTCATTGCAGATTTCCCATTCCCATGCACTGTCTAACATGAGGATACCGAATCTCTTGAAATCTACCTCATTCTCATGAAATATTCTCTATTCCCATGGGGTATCAGATATCAAATGCACTCCAAAACGTATCATGTGATCCTTCCTGCAGCCTCATAAACACACCTGTCTAGATGAAAAGTGGCGATTTCGGCATTATGACGTTCAAAATCACTGAAGTAGAAGTGATTCGGATCCGATTCATAATCGCGACCGAATCTGAAAACATCTTCCTTTATTGCAGCCCAATGACTTCGATGAATAATGCTCCAACACACCTCATAGGCTTAAAAACAGCTTGCTTGTCGTTCTCAAATGTGAAGACCAGCTTCGCCTAAATAGCATTCTACTGAATCACGTACTGAATTCGAGGGGAGGCGCTAAAGATTATTTCAGAGTTCGCAGTTAACATCGATGTGCTCAAAATCATAACCATTACAATTCAGAGTGGAATAATGGTATTCCATTCCATCGGAAATCGGAAGTTGGGACTTTTGCAGGTAGAGCCCAAGAATTTTCTTAACCCTTTGACGACAATGGCACCCACCGGTGGGTGCCACTATGACCGTCGCGTGGGACAATGGCACCCAATGGTGGGTGCCACCCTAAAATTTTCTTCTTTACCCATTTAAAACATTTTCAACATATCAGTAATTATAAGCAAGCTCCGTTACGCCTATGTTTAGCATATTTTGCAGAAATGTTTGTTACTAGCTAATTTATATGAAATTTTAGGATATGGCACTTCGCTCGGCGATGTATTAACTAGTGTTTTACATTATTAAGCTTAAGGTGAATTACAGATCAGGACCTCTACGTCTTTTCACAGTCTTAAGACACAAGGAGGAGTTTGAACTATATCAAACTTTTCATTTGAACTTAGATTTTAAACACCATCCCTTTGAAATCCGAGATCTCTTTCCAAACTTCCACTTCTAATTCCAACAATACATGATCATAAAGCTTAAGACTGCAGTCATATTTTGTTTATTGTCATAGTCAAAATTTTGATAGAAAAACTGCTTTTAGGGACAATTTTGCCCCATTTTGTGCGAGAGTTGGGCGCGCCAAAAAGAGGCGTGGTCCCACGAGCACGCTACGTGCAAATCCGCATTGTCGTCAAAGGGTTAATTAAGCATTACAATAAACAGTCAACAAGTAGCCAGCAACGTATATGTAAGCGTAATTCAGTAGTTCTGCTCTATAGGACCTTTTGCATACAAAAGATTTCGAGAAAATGCCCCAGGATTCGACCTTTCAAATTATTAAATCGGAAATCGAAATAACGATGGCTGGTCTCGAAGCACTTGGTTCTTAATATCAGTGAAACTGAATAGAATTCAGCTAACCTGTGTTCCACCGTCCATGATATGTACCGCCTTAATTACAGCTTGATTTAAGTCCGTAAGTAGATCATCAACTAGTCGATCGTCATTGTATACACTACAGCTACCAATTTCTGCGTAGAATTTTTCCCATGAATCACGGGTTGGAACAGATTTTCTAGAAAAGGACCGATTGAAAATTCATAAGTCGAGCAAACCTCCTCTCTCACTCCGAGCTTAAATCACTTACTGCTTTGTTTTTAACCAGTATTTAGCTAGAGTGGTGTTTTCATGGCACTCCTTAGCTGTCAACGCACCAAGATCCCTGCCTTTGATGAATCTATACAGTTTGTTTAACAGCACCCGATTGACATGCGACGGAAAGTCTGCAAACAAGACGCGATAAAATGACCCCCGATAAAATCATTGCGGTGAGTTGCACCTTCACACATGCATACACAAAGCGTTCCGCCGTCACTTTTCGTCCCTCATTTATCGCCCAGCTCATTCCAGAAAAATGGCGCCGATTTGCGCGAGAATGTGTCAGTTAACGCCGTCGTCAACGAGGGCAAAAGGGCTTGATTAATATGTGAAAGCCATGTCTGGTAATTGAATCGTCAACGCATTATTTATTCACCTCAAGGGTGCTCTCAAAATTCGCTCAGCTTAGCGGCTAAACGTCAGATTATTTTGAATTGTTCACGAACATCATTATATTAGAAATGACCAATTACTACTTTGCCACCTTTTTTACATACTTGGAAATCTTGGAAATCACTGACCAAATGGATCTTCACTAGTATCCTTTCCAACTAGACTAGGAGGATTTGGTTGCTTCTGGAATGACATTTGGGGTCCAACCCGGGCCGAATGTAGTGCATTCTCAGCCGGCGATTTTCCACCGTATTGCAGTAGCTCAATGGATCGTGGAGCCTCATCCCATTCTCCTGAAACTCGAGCCATTACTTCATTGCTACGCCAAGCGCGCATGTTATTTTCGTCCAAAGCGCATTTTGTTCAGAAATTTGGGATGCCTGGGATTTAAATGCTTGCAATCTGAAAACGCCATGTTTACCTCTGCAAAGCACACGCTGAAAAAAAATGCATCTAGCAAACATTGAAATTCAAACGAATTTTGGCTTAGCTGGAAACGATCTCTCCGAACTGAGAACTTTCTTTCGAAAAGAGATTTCAAATAACATCAGATTTTAACGCTATAATTCAGGGGTGAACGCGAGAACATGACAATTTGTTGCCTGTACACACCCTGAGCTACCCATAATCGCTGACGGGCCTAAAGTGAACCCGCTTGGTACGTTATTCTGTTTGGAAATCAGGCAAGAATTGCAATGAGGAACATTAGTGGGGAGAAAAAGCAAAAAGCACCATAGAAAACACTAAATTTCCCTTAGAGGCCGGCCGTAGTACGACGGAGAGACACAGCGCTGCGAGGAGAGGGAGAACGCGAGATAGTACGTCGTACGCGAGAGCAGAGACCACGTATGCCGTGGTTGATAACGCTGGCAGCACGGCAGCACACAAGGCAAGGCCTTAGCGCCGTTGCCTCGCACTTTTGAGTCGCGACAGTGTCGTGCCTCCTGCCCTTGGAGGCCCCTCTTTCTCACTCTAGAACAGGTTGGCTCACGGGACTTGATCCTGACTCGTGGCTTTAATATGACTAACCTGGTAATCTCCACAATCCAAGCTGCCCATCCCATGTCCTCCCCAGTCGCAGCAATAGAGAACATTCAACATACACAAAATACAGCTTAGCCGTGTGAGTAAATACTCTTCACTGTCAATCAAAATTTTGGTCGACTAGGCTAACAGCTATGTTAGATTCCAGGATTCTCGATAGCTATTCGATCTGCACTTACGGAGTTTATGGGAGAGCTAAATGGAACTTTGGGACAATAGAAAAATACTTAGGTCCTAATCAGTTCCTGGTTGAAAATTTGAAATTAGCAGAAAGTTACCACAGTGATTCTAGTGGCATGCAAACGAGTCAATCCGAATATGAAGCCATAGTGCAAAGGGATAAGAGATCCGCTAATTAAAAGACCCGAATGAGGAGAAATGAAAAGGAAACCATGAGCAGAGACTGCACGAAAACGAAAAAAAAAGTATCAGAAAAAATCAAAAAAAGTCTTTCTCTGAAAAAATGGGTTTCCTGAATATTAAATAATGTAGTACATGCTCTATTTTAAGCTCTTTATTTTCTTAATCTATAACTTTTGCTGACCAAAAGTGAGAGTCAAACAAAGGCAACCGTTCACAGAACACCCTCAATGGCACACAATGCCGCGCTGTTCTTTGCCCTTCCAAGGCACTCTTTTTTCTGAGCGAATTTGCAGACAACCGGTGTTCTCGTGCCACACTGATGACTCAGAAATTTATTGATTGGACCACCGCTTACCAGATCAAATAATAATTTATTGGAATCGCCGTTTGCTTATTATGTCGCAAGAAAAACTGATAACTGAATGTATTGCACAAGCTATGTTTATAGAAAACATCAGCGCCGGGCATACTGTTGCAAGCAAATCAACTCTCGAAAATCGATGAATTCGGAAAAGAAACGAAAACTTCGAATGATGTTTAACAAGATCGTGTAACAATATCAACTAGTAGAGAATTTGATCAAAATATTTTTCCGGAATTTTCTCCATTATTGGACTTCTGAACGTGTGAATGTCCAGCAATACTTTTAATTTTTCAAGAAGTTGCATTAACGTTCTTTTCCTGTGGAAATGGTGCAGAAAAAACGAGAATGAAGAAAAAATGTCCTGTCCGTGGGCTGTTGTCCGCGGCATTCGCACATTCGAACTATTCCAATAGATCACTTCATTTGAATATTCGACTACAGCAATTTTTTAAATAATGTCTACAAATAATGTTCATTTCACGGTCTGATTTTGTTTGAACAAACAAATGTCTCTTCGAGAAATCGATCGGATATCCCTTAGGCAAGCAAACAGATAGAAACATGAAATCAACGCATCTTCTCTCTATATATTTGCTTTTCTTTTTATATCATTACTTTGAGCCTTTTGCACCACTAGCCAACATTTTCTTATTGTTCACATGCTTCCGGCTCCAAATAAACAAGTAAACAATGGCCAAGTAAAAATAGGTAGGTTCTGGAAAAACTTTCAATTTTTATATTTAAAGTAGCAATTTCTAAACCCCTCAGGTTAAAAGGCCTTCGATTCGGTTATCACGAATGCTATTTGGATGGAAGTAATTTGTTTCACACGGCAACATTATCGAGACCAGAATTTCGTTCTAATTAGACGATCAATTCAGGGACGACAAAACTCACGTCCAAAGTTGTCACGAGGTAATGAAAGAAGAACGAGCGTTGCGCCAAAGGCGACAAAGGCGAGCGTGAATATCCGTCTAATGTTGCAACGCATTCGGACCACTCACATCACGTCCTTTTGTCGCCGATTCTTCCTGTTACCAAACGGAAATTACTTTGGTAACATGCACAATAAGGTAAAGTACAAAAGATTTACATGATAGCGCAATATGAACGCGGGAAACGTGACGAAAACATGAACAATTGGTCGGCATGTTGTAGTTAATCAGCTCTGATTTGCTAAGGAAAATCGATATATTGAATTAGATTATATCGTAGCGTAATTATAACATTGAAGACAGTTTGACAGCTACCGAAAATGATGTCCCGTGCGTGGGCGATGGGAACAGGCCGACCGGCGGAAGGAGCCAACATCGATGCTATGTGATAACGAATAACGCCCATTGCAACAACAAAAATCAAGCGGAGCGACGTGGGTGTTGGTTTGTTAGAATCAGAAAAGCAGGGCGCTTCACAAGGCTGACAGGAAGAGGTAAAGGTCAATAGCCAAGGAAAAAACAATGCAATGTTTGCGAACCGGTTCTGGCCCATGCAATTTAGCACGAAATGCTTCGGAATTCAAATGAGTCCATGTGCGTCGTCGCCGTCGTTGCCTGAACAACACAAGTCTGACGGGCAAAAATTGGGACATATGATTGTCGAACTATGCAGTAAGCGTCATGATAATTTGAATAAAGTTAAAGATCAACAGATCATTGGGCGAATACTGATGACATGGCTTACATCGGAGGGTATCGCCTGACAAAACAAACATTCGTTTAGCGTGTGCGTGTGCATGTGGAAGTACTTGCATGTGTGCACACAAGTATGTGGAAAGGTAATAAATTGTGAACAAATACATGTTTTAGAGGGTGGCAAACGACAATTACGCTTATTGGAAGGCTTTGCGGCGCCTGCCTTTCGACAATGAATTAGAACGAGAACACTTAGCTAGTGGAATGAATGGCGACGTATTGGGCTTCTGGATATGCCTGAATGTATGTTCCGCAGGGTCGATAGTCACTTTCTGGTTCCACAGCTAGGTATTTCGTCCTCCATCCTCCAGATGCACTTATAAGAATGTTTTTCATACTGCTTATAGAGCGACGTAGTAAAAGCAATGTTGGAAGATAGGTAGGAGTGATTAATTGGAAGGCTGAGTAGCCAGCTTACTGCCCGGATCTGAGATATTATCTGGATTCAGATGCCAGGATAAAGCTCAGAGGATCCCTCCTCTACCTGCGCCTCAACATAGCCGCCGAATGTATCTACCATGAGCTGGAAACTGATGGCTCGGGCAGGTGACCCATGTCAAGGAACTTCAAGATCTGAGCAGGTTTTGTCGTGGATAACCTATTATGGTTTGAGTAGTCGCTGAGTAGACGACACCTCTGCAAGAAAAGGAAGTGTTATCAGTCCTGTCTAGGGATAATTAGGACAATAAAGTCGGCTCATGAAAGAGATGAAAAAGGGAGCCAGGTCATGTTGTTGGATACAGACGACAGACTGATAACGAATCGTCGTCCTGAAAAGAAGTACTGATACGAGCCGACTGAACTACGAAAGCTTCTGATGTTTCGAGTTAAGAACCGATCTTCGCTCTTCAAGATTTCTTAATGCAGAAGCTCCTGAACCACAGTTCCTGATCATCAGCGTCTTACACCTACCACAGAGATGAACGTAGAGAATTTCTTATCGGATGGAACGTGCCGTATCGCTGTCTCGACCGGACGTTCTGCTAGACAAAAGTGGCAGTTGACGAACAAACGCATATGACAGCCATTATCCCTTTCACCCCCGCGAATGCCACGAGTTTCTTTGCATAGCCGTTCCTGTTTGCCTAATATTTGGACCATAGTTAAGGGCTATAAATCAGGAAGTCATGCGGAGCCATTTGTGGAAATGAAAGTGTCTCATATGCTGGAAGACATGGTTGTCAATGAGCGAAGAACATGAATAGGTATTGGCGTGCAGTGGTGTAATGAACATGAATGGCTACGGAACCCAAACGTTTGACGGATTTCCAGCCCCACTGTTCCCCAAACGTGGGCAAATTTTTTCATGTACCAGTTATTGAGAGACTGGTAACACATCGCAAAATAATTGACGAACTGGACTGGTAGATTGACTAATTGATTGGTAGGGTGAAAATGGCATTTGCAGTTGCGTCAAATGAAAATTGTTGTTTTTCTTTGAAAAATGACGTGAAATTCGCTAGCTAAGTCAATGGTGAACCTGTTACTGACATCACTGAACACAGCCGGCCAGAAAAGGTCGCGTAGGTGACCAAAGTGAGCCAAACAATCTGAACTGAACCTGAACAGACGAGCGTAACGATCGTAGCCTTCCGCCTTCTCTTATTTCTCCATAGCCTTGGCGTTCGATTTCGGTAACGCTTCCGAGAAATGAGAAAATGGGATTGTGCTGAAGACGGATGGTCAACCTCCCACGCTTTACGGCCGGCAAAAAAGACTGTTCAGCCAATCTGCTATTACTATCAGTAATTTCTACGAGATTACCGACGGCGACCGGCAGCAGCCCAACATGAAAAACAGGCTTTCACTGCTCAGTCGTGCGTATTGATTGAATGAATGAGGTGTGACGGGTGAGGTGAGTGACAGATTGGATGGACGAACGACGAAAGTATGAGATGAGATGAAAGCGATCACGAGGCGGACTTCGTTGGCTCGTTGGCCCACAGACCATCGGATTAGCCGTATTGTTTGATGTGTGCAGAGTGACGAGCAGTGAACGACCTCAGACGGACCACTTCATCAGATCAAATCTATCCTCGCAGACCACTCGACCTGGTCACCCAAAATCTTCCGACAATATACCTAACAATGCGCTTTGCAAGAACACCCCGATCAAATAGCTTCGGACCATTTCCCTAGGCTTTCGAGATTGAACTAACTGAAGAATTTTTTTCTTTGATGGATCGTCCCTCGGAATAAAACACAGCACTCTATGAACTGTCTGGTACCACAGAAAAAGCAGGGTATCATCTACTATCGTCATCATCTATCAGCATCTATCATCATCCTGTAATCGTAGAAAATATGCTGGACAACAATCGAAAGAACATCGCTGAGATTGGCCTATCAGTTACATTTTCTATATCCAGTTCTCACGCTTTCTGAATACAGTATAACTGGCGAGAAATTACAGCACGATTATCGTATCCATCAGATGTCCAATAAAAACTGTATGACATCCAGTCATCCAGGTGCAGCCGTCGCCGAATCCAGTGAATATAGAGAGCTACGGGGAGAGCGGAAATGAATATAAAGATGAAGACGAGTAGCGGAATAAACAGGAAGGATGGCGGCTTGAAGAGTGGAGGTAGAAAGTAAATAAACGATTTGAAAGGGCAAGTGTATCATGATCAGAAATGCTGCTGACTATGCAGATTTCCGATGGTAAATCGGAAACGGAAATGGGACCAGAAAAAAGCTCAAAGGAAAGCGGTATTCTGCTATTCAAGCTTCCTCTTCACTTATATGCAAAAAAGAGGAGTTGGAGGTGCAAGGCTTTTATTAACGAAGTATAGTAATACCAGGTGAGCACCGCCGAAAGCCCACAACGAAATTGAGGATGCGAAGAGAGCGAATGGCCAGCGAAACCATAGAGATGGAGCCGACGGATCGCAATAATTGGATGTTCTAGCCATATGAAAGTTGATGTGGAACAAAGGAGCGACCAGGCGTATGTGAGGGAGGTTCTGGGGCTTGAACGCTTCGGCCGTATGTTACATTTCCACGAGCATTGTGCTTATTTTAACGCTCTGTATGTATATGCAATTTGTTTTGACGGGTAAAAACCAGACATGTAAATGGTAAACGAATGATTCACTCAGATGTTGGCATACCATAACACACATAAACGCATTCGAGGGTCGGGCGGCGAACGATGAGGCGATCCCCTGACCGCACCTCCTTCTCTCGTTCGGCCCCCCATCTGATGGCCGCCAGTGACAATGGCTCTCTATAAGAATAATCGATGGTATCGCTGGCAAAAATGTCATCTTTTTTGCGTTGATGTCGGCTGCAAAAATCACTAGCTTCCACTCGTTATTGATGTCTCGAGTACAACGTGAGAATGAGGGGCTTGGGTGTAAAAATATTGCGGCATTGAAGATTGGCATTTGTGTAAGAATGAGGAGAACGAAGTGGTTAACGTGACTGATGATATGCGAACTCTCTGGACATGATATTCAGCAACGAGCTATGAGAGCAGTCTCAGAAGCGATTAGACTGCATGAAGAGTACTTAACAGCTCGATAATCAATGCAAATTGCCAGGCATTATACTGGCCACGTTCGGAGCTGTAAATCGCAGCGCCCTAGCGGCTCCCTTTGCGCGGAGATGACATGTCACATTGTTCACGGAAAAACTGTCCTACACAATCCTTTTGTGTGAATTTTCGGCAACATTTCGGCGTAAAGAATAGCATTGGACATAACGTGAAGAGGATTAGGACATGGATAAGTAGGTGACAAGTGATTTCATGAATGTTGCTGCCCGTATGAGGCGGTGCTTTGGCCGGTTCGAAGTGGGTCGAAATCGCGGCGTTCTATCAGTTCGAATCGCGGACTAAACTACGGGCCGACAAAAAAACGGTCAAGTGAGCGCAATTGCTACACTGATGTCGACACGTTGCGCTTGGCTTTTGTATACAGTAGATATGACGTGACGACGATGTCGTCAAGAGGCAATTAGAAGACGAAACTCATGGGCAAGTGCCACGAAAGCGCTGAGGAGGAACCAGCTAGGTGCAGTTGATCGAGGGCGATTCGACAACGAGAATGAGCAGCATGTGTTTTGTGTAGCAGCTGTTTTCGAGACATAGACATGGTTCGGGGTTTTTGTCAATCACAGCAAAAACAACGCATAATTTTCATGGAACCATCAAGACTTCTCCAGCTTCGTTCTCAGTAAAAGTTGACCGACTTTTGCAGAAGACGATGAAGTGTCGAACTATTCAAGTTTGCTCTCAGTGGGAAGATCAGTGATAGCAGAAATGGCTGTCAGTTGCAAATTCATATTTAACTGCGTT